CTGGTAGCCACCAGGAATGTCTCGTTTGGCTGGCTGGGCCTTCCTTGCCGCCGACGGCAATCAAGAGGGGGAGGACAGAGGAGGGAGGAGGCGCTCGGGAGTCTTCGGAGGGGCCGCGGGAGGTCCTTGGCAGGCTTCGGGAGGCCTTGGGCTGCTCTGGCGGACGTTCTGTGGGGAGGGGGGAGCAGCGCCTTGAGATCCGCCGTCGCGAGCTGAGGTGCCGCATCCCAGACCCCCGACGTCATGATTTTTTCATGACGCGACCCCCAGAGGTCCGGACCTATTCGCCGGGACCGGTTTTTCATCCTGAGTTGTTTTTTGACGGTCCCGAGGGCCGGTAAGGGCCCCCAGAGGCGGAAAATATGGAAAAATCTTCCGTCGTGATTTTTTCCCGGAAAGGGCCTGGGCCCAGGGTTCTCTTTTCGATGGTCTTCCCCCCGGTTTTTACTTGAAGGGGGCCGGCGGAATTCTTGTGCGATAAATTACGAGGTCGAAGGGGGCCGGCGGATTTCAATTGTGAGGACGAAGACAATTTTTCGCCACCCCTCACGCAGATCGTGCTCTTGGAATTTTACTGCCTTTAAGGAAACCTTGATATTTCACAGGTGAAGTCCACTTTTTTCCGACATCGACTTTAAACTATACAAAAAACGTAAACGCGTTCGCTCGATAAATAACGAGGTACCGCGGCCTCCGGAACGGCGCTGGGAACGGAGTTTTGGATTCTTGAAGTTGCATAAGTTCGGAAATAGCAGAAATCCCCTGTGTTTTTGGACCCTGACCCCGCCGATCTGCGTGAGGTGTGGCACGGAATACCAGAAATGTGTCAAATCCCTTGTGTTTTTTGACCCTGACCCCGCCGATCTGCGTGAGGGGTGGCGCGGAATTCCAGAAATGTGGCAAATCCCTTGTGTTTTTGGACCCTGACCCCGCCGATCTGCGTGAGGGGTGGCACGGAATTCCAGAAATGTGGCAAATCCCATGTGTTTTCGGATCCTGACCCCGCCGACCTGCGTGAGGGGTGGCACCGAATTTCAGAAATGTGGCAAGTCCCATGTGTTTTCGGACCTTGACTTCGCCCAGGAGGGCCCAGGAGGCTCCAGGAGAGCCCAGGAGAGCCCAGGAGGGCCCAGGAGAGCCCAGGAGGGCCCAGGAGGACCCAGGAGGCTCCAAGAGGCACCAGGGGGCCCAAGGAGGGCCCAGGAGAAGCTCCAGGAGGCTCCAGGAGAGCCCAGGAGGGCCCAAGAGGTCCAAGGAAGACCCAGGAGGGCCCAGGAGCCCTTACGAGGGATCGTGGCCCTGGGAGCGCTGACGTAGCGTAATTTACGAGGGATCGTGGCCCTGGGAGCGCGGGTGTAGTGTAACTTTCATAATTTGTCGAGGATGTCTCGAGCGAAACGCTGGTTTTGCAAGATTTGGGGATGTCTCGAGCGGGGGCTTCGTGGGGGGCCAGAATTCAGAGGATGTCTCAGGGAAAATGTTTGTTGTCGTGTCCCGCTCGCAGGAATTCCAAGGATGTCTCGCGCGTGCCGCGTCCCGCGCGCAAGAATTTCGAGGATGTCTCGACTAATTCGTTTGTTTTGTCAGGATTTCTTAAAATTTTGGTAGGATGTCTCGAGCGAAACGCTTGTTTTTCACAATTTGTTGAGGATGTCTCAAGCGAAACGCTGGTTTTATTCAGAGGATCTCTCAGGCGAAATGCTTGTTGTCGTGTCCCGCTCGCAGGAATTCCAAGGATGTCTCGCGCGTGCCGCGTCCCGCGCGCAGGAATTTGGAGGATGTCCCGTAGCGCGTCCCCTTGGCACGTCCTACGGTGCGACCCCATGGCACGTCCCTTGGCACGTCGCCTGGCGCGTCCCTTGGGACGTTTCGCGGCGCGTCCTCCTGGCATGTCCCCCTGTCAATTACCTCTGGGGCAGCTACTATGTGTTCAGGCAGCTCGAGCTTCAGATCCAGATCAGTTTGGTCAGGACTCGGATGCAAAGGAAGACTTGATCCACGACGCTATAGAGCACAACCGCGGCATGGCACATCGCAATTCAGCACGGTGCAGCACAGCACAGCCCTCGGCACGGTACATCAAGATCGATACAATCAGCATTGCACTTGCCCGTCACCCAATCAGGTGTCTTTGAAAACGTTGCCATGCGTTACATTTCTATATTCCTTTCCGGGTTCGTGGGTCGATCATGTTCCCGACACGGGAACAAGAAATGAGGGGCCTGTTGTCCACCGCCACCACCATAAGTTGGAGGGGGTCCTCCTCCTCCTCCTCCTCCTCCTCGTCGTCCTCCTCCTCCTTCTCCTCCTCCTCCTCGTCCTCCACCTCCTTCCCCCCTCCAACTTATGGTGGTGGTGGTGGTGGAAAACAGTCCCATCAAGAAACGCCCTCGGCGGCGTCTCTAGTGAGACCTACACGGGTGGCGTGAGGAGGGGGGGGGGGCAAGGGGGGGGAGGGGGGGGGCCTCGAGGCAGGTCGGGGGGCGCCGCGGGGGCGTCCCGCGCCCTGGCCCGAGGGCGGGGGCGGGGCAGAGGGCGGGCGGCGGGGAAGCGCTCGGCGGCGCAGAGGGCGTCGGACGACGCTGGACGCCGCCGCCGCCAGCACCGGCAGCACCACCAGCACCAGCAGCACCAGCAGCACCAGCCGCGACAGGGAGGGAGGGGGAGGGGGCAGCGACGAGCTGGGTGCGCTCGCGCCACATCTGACATCCTATCCCTCCCTCCCATCTCTTCCCACTGCGCTGCTTTTTCCTGTCTCCGATAGCCGAACTGTAACTCCCACAAAAACCAATCGTTTTAATCGCAGTCGGAGAAAGAGAGCTACGCACATAGGAGAGCGGGAGGATGAGCAGGAGGGTGAGCAGGAGGATGTGGAAGTAAGAGAACGATGACGAACAGCAGAAGCAGCAGCCGCCGCAGCAGCAGCAGAAATGGAGTGGAAGAAGCGGGAGGAGCAGGAACCGCCGCCGCCGCTGCCGTCGTCGTCGTCGTCGTCGTCGTCGGTGGTCGTCGTCGTCGTCGTCTTCGTCTTCGTCGTCGTCTTCGTCTTCGTCGTCGTCGTCGTCGTCGTCGTTCCTCGTCGTCGCTGTCGGCCCTCGTCGTCGCTGTCGTCTCTCGTCGTCGTCATCGTCGTCGTAGTCGTCGTCCTCGTTCTCGTCCTCGTCCTCGAGTCCTCGTCCTCGTCCTCGGCCTCGTTCTCGGCGATGTCGCCGTCGTCGTCGTCGGCGGCGGTGTCGTCGTCGTTCTCGGCGTCGTTGTCTTCGTCGTCGTCTTCGTCAGGCTCACGCCGAGGAGGGCGACATCATCGTTTTCACGGGGGACTTCAACTCCGACTACCAGTCCGCCACCGTGAAGCTGGCGATCGGGGAGAAGACCGAGTAGGGGCACGATGCCCCCCAAACTGATCTTTGCCTCGAGTCATGCGTAGACTTGTTCGTGCACATACGTCGGGCCTGTCCCTCCACGCGAGGAATATTCAAAGATAGGCAAAAAATCGACCTGGGACGATCTGTTGTGTATTTTTGTGACTATTTCGGTTTCTGTGTTCGTCCAGAATCCACCCGTCGGGGGACACGCCCGACCTCGAACACGCTTTGCAGGTCTCATGGGCTCGACGAGCAGCTCCATTTTTGGGGGGGCGGGTCCTTTGTGGGCCCCAGAAACGACAGGGCTGTTTTTTCCCGGAAAGGGCTTCAGGCCCAGGGTTGTTTTTCCCGGAAAGGGATGGGCCCAGGGTTCTCTTTTAGATGGTCTTCCCCCAGGTTTTTACTTGAAGGGGGCCGGCGGAATTTTTGCGATAAATTACAAGGTCGAAGGGGGCCGGCGGATTTCAATTGTGAGGACGAAGGCTATTTTTCGCCACCCCTCACGCAGATCGTGCTCTTGGAATTTTACTGCCTTTAAGGAAACCTCGATATTTCACAGGTGAAGTCCACTTTTTTCCGACATCGACTTTAAACCATAAAAAACGAGGTAAACGCGTTCGCTCGATAAATAACGAGGTGCCGCGGCCTCCGGAACGGTGCTGGGAACGGAGTTTTGGATTCTTGAAGTTGCATAAGTTCGGAAATTTGACCCTGACCCCGCCGATCTGCGTGAGGGGTGGCGCGGAATTCCAGAAATGGGGCAAATCCCTTGTGTTTTTGGACCCTGACCCCGCCGATCTGCGTGAGGGGTGGCACGGAATTCCAGAAATGTGGCAAATCCCAAGTGTTTTCGGATCCTGACCCCGCCGACCTGCGTGAGGGGTGGCACCGAATTTCAGAAATGTGGCAAGTCCCATGTGTTTTCGGACCTTGACTTCGCCCAGGAGGGCCCAGGAGGCTCCAGGAGAGCCCGGGAGAGCCCAGGAGGGCCCAGGAGAGCCCAGGAGGGCCCAGGAGGACCCAGGAGGCTCCAAGAGGCACCAGGGGGGCCCAAGGAGGGCCCAGGAGAAGCTCCAGGAGGCTCCAGGAGAGCCCAGGAGGGCCCAAGAGGTCCAAGGAAGACCCAGGAGGGCCCAGGAGCCCTTACGAGGGATCGTGGCCCTGGGACCGCTGACGTAGCGTAATTTACGAGGGATCGTGGCCCTGGGAGCGCGGGTGTAGTGTGATTTTCATAATTTGTCGAGGATGTCTCGAGCGAAACGCTGGTTTTGCAAGATTTGGGGATGTCTCGAGCGGGGGCTTCGTGGGGGGCCAGAATTCAGAGGATGTCTCAGGGAAAATGTTTGTTTTCGTGTCCCGCTCGCAGGAATTCCAAGGATGTCTCGCGCGTGCCGCGTCCCGCGCGCAGGAATTTTGAGGATGTCTCGACTAATTCGTTTGTTTTGTCAGGATTTCTTAGAATTTTGGTAGGATGTCTCGAGCGAAACGCTTGTTTTTTTCAATTTGTTGAGGATGTCTCAAGCGAAACGCTGGTTTTGCAAATTTGGGGGATGTCTCGAGCGGGGGCTTCGTGGGGGCCAGAATTCAGAGGATCTCTCAGGCGAAATGCTTGTTGTCGTGTCCCGCTCGCAGGAATTCCAAGGATGTCTCGCGCGTGCCGCGTCCCGCGCGCAGGAATTTGGAGGATGTCCCGTAGCGCGTCCCCTTGGCACGTCCTACGGTGCGACCCCATGGCACGTCCCTTGGCACGTCGCCTGGCGCGTCCCTTGGGACGTTTCGCGGCGCGTCCTCCTGGCATGTCCCCCTGTCAATTACCTCTGGGGCAGCTACTATGTGTTCAGGCAGCTCGAGCTTCAGATCCAGATCAGTTTGGTCAGGACTCGGATGCAAAGGAAGACTCGATCCACGACGCTATAGAGACCGCGGCATGGCACATCGCAATTCAGCACGGTGCAGCACAGCACAGCCCTCGGCACGGTACATCAAGATCGATACAATCAGCATTGCACTTGCCCGTCACCCAATCAGGTGTCTTTGAAAACGTTGCCATGCGTTACATTTCTATATTCCTTTCCGGGTTCGTGGGTCGATCATGTTTAGGCTGGTAATCTGTCCCCGGTGCCTCAACTGAGGGGCACCGGCTGATTTTTTCTTTGATAAATATCGAAGTCGAAGGGCGCCGGCGGATTAAAGTTTGAGGATTTCTCGAGCGAAACGCTTGTTTTTCAGAATTTGTTCAGGATGTCTCGAGCGAAACGCTGGTTTTGCAGAGTTGGGGATGTCTCGAGCGAAACGCTTGTTTTCAGAATTTGTTGAGGATGTCTCGAGCGAAACGCTGGTTTTGCAGAGCCGACCGCGACGCGGAAAAGCGCCCCGCGCGCAGGAATTCCGAGGATGTCTCGCGCGTGCCGCGTCCCGCGCGCAGGAATTTCGAGGATGTCTCGACTAATTCGTTTGTTTTTCTAGGATTTCCTTGAATTTTGGCAGGATGTCTCGAGCGAAATTCACGACCCCACCCTAGCACGACCACACCCCAGCACGACCACACCCCAGCACGACCACACCCCAGCACGACCCCACCCCAGCACGACCCCACCCCAGCACTACCACACCCCAGCACGACCACACCCCAGCACGACCACACCCCAGCACGACGCCACCCCAGCAAGACCACACCCAGCACGACCACACCCCAGCACGACCTCACCACAGCACGACCACACCCCAGCTCGACCACGCCCCAGCACGACCACGCCCCAGCACGACCACGCCCCAGGCACGATCACCCCCCAGCTGACCACCCCCCCAGCACGACCACCCCCCAGCACGACCACACCCAGCACGACCACACCCCAGCACGACCACTCCCCAGCACGACCACACCCCAGCACGACCACACCCCAGCACGACCACACCCCAGCACCCCCGTGGAACTGGTTGAGTGGTTGCCTGTTCGTGGGGTGTCTCGTGGAATGTTTCACGGGGTGTCTCGTGGAATGTTTCGTGAGGTGTCTCGTGGAATGTTTCGTGAGGTGTCTCGTGGGATGTTTCGCAGGGTGTCCCGTGGGATGTTTCGTGAGGTGTCGCCCAGTTGGGTATCATGAAAACGTGACCATGCTGCACATGTCTATATCCCTTTCCGGGTTCGTGGGTCCATCATGTTCACCGTTTCCAAAAATGTCTCCCTTGAAAATGGAAGCGGCAGAAAAACGGCGGCCGGAAACGGCAACGAAAACGGCTCCAGGATTGGAGCCGGAGCCGGAACCGGTCAAACAACTGCGACGGAGCCGGTAAAAAATCGGCGTCGGAACCGCGACAAAAAACGGCACAACGGAACCGGTAAAAAAAACGGCCCTGTCGTTTCCAGGGCCCACGAAGGGCGGGCCCACTCCGTATCCTCGATCCCCCTGCTCGAGGAGGGGGGGCCCGCGCCCTCGAGCGGTGTCGCCGCGAGGGCCGCGTCGCCCTTGCGCCCCGCCGGGCGGGCGAGGGGCGCCGAGGGGCGGCGGAGGCGGCACGGAAGTGCGATGGCTGCAGTGGGGGCGCGCAGCAAGAAGCCGCCTGCTTTTCGTCAGGGTATCTCAGGCCATCGCACACAGGGGAGGGGGAGGAGTGAGGAGGAGGAGGAGGAGGAAGGAGGAGGGAGGAGGAGGAGGAGGGAGGAGGAGGGAGAGGAGGGAGGAGGAGGAGGAGGAGGAGGAGGGAGGGAGGAGGAGATGGAGGAGGAGGAGGAGGAGGAGGAGGAGGAGGAGGAGGAGGAGGAGGAGGGAGGAGGAGGAGGAAGAGGAGGAGAGGAGGAGGAGGAGGAGGAGGAGGAGGAGGAGGAGGAGGAGGAGGAGGAGGAGGAGGTTGGGGGATCCCATCGGCGGCGCGCCCCAGGGGGGCAGCGAGAGTCGGGCGATCGCAAGCATGACTCAAAGGGGGCGTGGATTAGCGACGGGTCCCGTCTCCATGGGGACTCGCGGAGTTCCGCCGCCGAAGCGAGGCGGCACCGGCCGCCTTCCGGGGAGGGCACCTCCCCCGATCCATGGATCTGGCGACCGCGCGCCAAATCCACGGATCGCCAATCCATGTTGGCGCGCCCCCGAATCGAGAAACCATACGCTTTTCGTCAGGGTATCTTGGGCTTCTCCGCTCCTCGCGCGGCGCGGTGACGCCCCCGCAGCCGTTGCAAGGAGCTGCAGCGTGCGGGGGGCTCCAGGCTTCCCCTCAGGGGTGCACCTCGCGCCCGGGCTCTCGGGGTCGGGTTTCTGGCGAGGCTCTCCTGCGGCCGCGCCCGAACTGCAGGGCGTCAGACGTCGACGTCCAGCCGACGGAGGCGCGATCGACGCCGTCTTTTAGGTCGGGCAGGTCCCTCTGCAGGAGGAACCTGTTCAAGAGTGGTAGGATCCAGTCTGGTGACGACGATCTTTGGATTGTTTTTAAGGATGTGTTGTTGTTGTTGTTGTTGTTGTTGTTGTTGTTGTTGTTGTTGCTGCTGCTGCTGCTACTGCTGCTGCTTCTGCTGCTGTTGTTGTTGTTGTTGCTGTTGTTGCTGTTGTTGTTCATGTTATGGTTGTTGTTGTTGTTGCTGTTGTTGCTGTTGTTGTTTATGTTGTTGTTGTTGTTGTTGTTGTTGTTGTTGTTGTTGTTGTTGTTGTTGTTGTTGTTGTGGTTGTTGCTGTTGTTGTTGTTGTTGCTGCTTTTGTTGTTGTCGTTGCTGTTGCTGCTGCTGCTGTTGCTGTTGCTATTGCTGCTGCTGCTGTTGTAGTAGTAGTAGTAGTAGTAGTAGTAGTTGTTGCTGTTGCTGCTGCTGCTGCTGCTGCTGCTCCTGTTGTTGTTGTTGTTGTTGTTGTTGTTGTTGCTGTTGTTGTTGCTGTTGTTGTTGTTGCTGTTGTTGTTGTTGTTGTTGTTGTTGTTGTTGTTGTGGTTGTTGTTGTTGTTGTTGTTGTTGTTGTTGTTGTTGTCGTTGAGTTTTTCTTTCCCAGACCCGCCCGTGGGAGGGCATGCCCGACCTGGACGCCCTCGGGCGTCGCAGGCGGAGCGGCGAGGGGCTCCGCGGGTGGCGGGTGTCGGCGGCGGGCCGGCGGACTGCCGGTGGACGGCGGAGGTGCAAGATGCGCCCCCCAAAATATCGAGTGAGGAAAGACGGAGGGCAGGGTGAGATAAGGGTGACGTTTCTGCCTTTTTCGCCTCCGAGGGGCCTCCTCGTCGCCACGGCTGGACGCAGCGTGAAAAATCGGTGCGTTTGGACCCAGGGAGGGGTCCGGGGACCGATTTTGAGCCGATTTGGCCACCGTTGTCTCACGGCCGTCGTCTCACGTTGCCCTCCTCCGAAAGACCGCCCAGAACTGAGGACCTTGTGAGAGCATGGGTCCAAGGACTTCTCACGCTGACTCGCGCTCCTGGCGCCTTAGCTTAGCTGAAACAACAGCGTATGCACTTTTTTTGTTCCATTGGGCCGGTGTGTGTTTCCCGCACACGTTGCGGGCCGAATGTCAAGTCAAGCAGTGGCGAAGCGTCCTGGCTCGCTCGCCTATGAGGCCCACCAAACAATGTTCTAAGAGCCTTCTGTGGTTCCACGAATTGTTCTTCCATGATTTCTGGCTGGGGCTGTCTTGTTTTAACACATCAGGCTCAAGTTCTAAGAACATTGTTTATGTTATTAGAACATTTTGGATTCCAATAACATTTCGTGGTAGGACTATAGAAATGCCAGGACGGTCGGTCCCTGCTCAATCAAGTGAGGAAAAACCACCCGGACCCGATCATTGGTGTTTATTGAACGGCCTTAGCGGTTATTAGACAGCCCTGCCCTGTTCGATGCTTCTCTGGGTCCGTTTACAGCACGGCTTCGCGTGTCGGGGTGGTTCGTAGGGGGGTGGATTTTTTCTGCTCTCCCGAAGAAGGCCGAATTTTGTGCAAACGAGAGCCCTGGGGCCTGTCGAGAGGTGTTCTGAGCCGTCCCCGAAGACGCAGAGATCTTTCAGAAAGCGCGAGGGCTTCTGAGAAGTCCCGCCGCCTTCTGATTTCCCCCCCTCGCTTGCCGCTGGACCTTCGGAGCCCCGCGCGGTTTTGTCGGGTCCGGCGCTCCCCCCCGGCGGCGCCTCTGGCGTCGCCCCAGGGCGCTCTCCGCGCGCGGGGCAGGGGCCTGGGGTGTCAGCGCAGATCCGAAGATTGCGTGCGGGCCCTCGGCAGTTTATTCTTGTGCAGTTTTTTGATTCCTGTGGCCTCCCCAGTCTGTTATCTGCTAATCCGACGCCCTCAGAAGCATCATCAGCAGCAGCAGCAAGATCCATGTCACCCTCGTGCTCGATGCTCCCGTCTGGTACCGTGCATCCACCGAGATGTAGCGGGGGTTCGAGATTTCTAGTCCAGACCTCCCGCCCAAAGCATGAGGTCCTGCCAATACCCCTTACGATGCATTCTGACATCTTGAGCTCAGATGATGCAGGGGCCGTGGCAATCTCCCCAGAGCCTTCTGGACGGGCCTCAGAGCCTCTCGGAGAGGTCTCGGAGCCTCCTGGGGGAGAGGTCTCAGAGCTTGTGGGAGATGCCTCACACCTCTGTGCGGTGCCTCGAGGAGGAGGAGGAGGAGGAGGAGGAGGAGGAGGAGGAGGAGGAGGAGGAGGAGGAGGAGGAGGAGGAGGAGGAGG